ACTTTTTATCTGAACTATTAGCAATACAGAATAATCTTCAATACTGTTCATTCTGTGACATGATTAACTGCTTCCTAGTGAATTACTAAAACGGTAACATTTCTACTTCTTTTCATTGTATTTTAAAGAGGGTATGGCCTTTGAAAAGTTATCTATTATGTATGAGGAAATACAATACTGTAATTAATGTTTTTTCACTGTTTATTATAGCTATGTTGTGGAATGCAGAAAGAGAAATTATGAAACATGAAAACTGATCTGAAAGCGGGCAAGTGGGCAGAGGGAAGGTGAAAACCTTTGCAAACCCTCCAAACTTGTCCTTGCTGGGGAAGCACTGTAATAAAATGAGAGAAAATTACTTGTAAACAATGACTGTCAAACTATGACATACGTTTCAGTAGAGAACTTATGTACTGCACACTATGAATAACAAAACAAGATGAAAACTGTATGGTGCTGCAATTTTAAAGGTATTCTAAGTAGCAAGTTTTAGTATACAATAAATTGATAGAGTTTATATTATTCATATATATTTAAATACTACTGTGAGGTGTACAACCATGTCAGTTTCTTGGTGCTCTTTCTAAGTAACTTAAAAATAATACTAGAAGGAAAAATAAAGACTACATGCAACTATACAAACAGGAGCAAAACCATCAGTGAAATTTTACATACCTTAAAAAGAAACAGTAGCCAAGAATAAAAGGAAGTTGTTATTGGATGACTTTTGCACTTTACCTCAAATTGCAACTGTTTTTCAAATATCAACTCACTCCTTACCAAGCCAAACTATAAAAATCAATACAAAAATTCCTATATTTTCCAAAAGGAAATAGGAATGCAGTAAGAATTATCTTAATTCTCAAACATAATTAGATAAAACAGAATTAACTCTAAGAAATTTAGAACCTCATAATCTTTAACCAGACTGACACAAAGCTATTGTATAAATTCCATTTCAAAATCATAAATACTAACATATCTGACTTTTCCTCAGAGGAGACTGCCACTAGCTTAAAATACTATTTCTCATAAATTAATCTTCCAATTAACCCACTTCCCCAAAAATAGTATATACAGGAATAACTGAAAGACACATAACTAAGAATTTGTACCAATGGAAATAGCTACATATTAGCAATTCCTTGTATCAATGATAAAATGAAAACCAAGTTTCATGCAGCCCAAGTGTTCAGGCCTGGTGCACTGGGAAGACCCAGAGGGATTGGGTGGAGAGGGAGGTGGGAGGGGGGACCGGGATGGAGAATACATGTAAATCCATGGCTAATTCATTTCAATGTATGACAAAAACCACTGCAATGATGTAAAGTAATTAGCCTCCAACTAATAAAAATAAATGGAAAAAATTAAAAAAAATTAAAAAAAAAAAAGAAAACCAAGTTTCAAGAACATGCCTGAGGTAGGACAGAATATTTAAAGTGATTCCAAATTCTTTTTAAATATTTTATTATGTCTCATCTTTCATATTGTAATTATTTTAAAATTCAGTTATCCATTCTAACAATATAAGTGAAAAAACTAAGAAAATAGACTACCATGCCCATTCCCAGTGATCACAAATTTTACTGTGTAAGAATTTAATCCACTAGCTAAAGATATATCTGTATATAAATAGCTCTTCCTTACTGCACAGAAAACAAAAAGAATGGAGTTTCATTTCAGTGGAAAAGTAAGTGGTTATATAGTACTTCCTTGGAATTAATTTACCTTTTTCCACACTACTCAGTGAGCCACATTTAAACAAACTACACTGGGAGATAGTAGGCAATAAAGATTAAGAATACAGACCCTGACTGACTAAATTTCAATCTTCATCACGTAACTATCCATGGGATGATCCATACTTGAATATATTACGACACGTCTCCTAATCCCAATTTTTTCATGTGTAAATGGGGAAATTAGTATTGACCTAATAGCTATAATTATAATTACCTAAGTAAAAGTTTCGTGTGAATAGCAACCACTGAATAGTCTTGATCATGGTAAATAGAATTAGAAATAATGACTAACATTCTTTCCTCCAGTCATTCATTCTTTATTTACCCCAAGTCTAAACATAACCAAATTTGCTTTACTCATAGAAAACGAGTAGCCTAGCAGTTAAGAACATGAGTTATAAGATAGGCTGTCCATGTTCAAATCCTGGCTCCTAACTATAACCATAAACAAGTGATTTTCTGTGCCTCAGTTTCTTCATCCGTTAAAGAAATCACAACTGCAATCTACCCTAAAAAGTTTTTGCCCATTAGATTAGTGTGTCTGTGCTTGTGGGTGTGTGTATGCATATGAGCAGAATAAGAGTATCTGGCATACTACATTCACTCAAAAATGCCAATAAAAAACACAAGACTCGCAGACACTATACAAGAGTACTAGGCACCATTTTACTTTTTTCTGAAACCAACCTACTTGAGATACCAATAAACACACTTGCAAATACTCAGGCCAAAAAAAAAGTGCAAGAAAAAAAACAAAACTTGACTAAAAGCTAGTCTTTAGGTAAATACATCTTGGCAAAAAGCCATTCTTAATAATCAACTGAAAAATAATGTCCCACCATACTGAAAGAATACAACAATATTCCAACGAATCAGATGTCTCAGTTTATAGAGATTAATCTTCTCCACTCTAACTCAAAATTTTCATTTTAATGATACCAACAACAAAGAAATCATAAGATAATAACCTATATTTTAAAAACACAGCCTGCAGTCGGTACACTAAAACTCTTACTTCGTCCTACTACAGTAACATTACACAAACTCATCCTTCACTCTTAAAAGTATTACCCTTTGAAATAACATATTTAAGAAGATGATGGGGAATTCCTTGGCCATCCAGTGGTTACAACTCTGAGGTTTTACTGCCGAATACCCAGGTTCAATCCCTGGTTAGGGAACTAAGATCCCACGAGCCACGAGTTACAGCCAAAAAAGAAAAAAGAAAGAAAGAAAAAAAATTGAATATACTACTATACTTAGTTATCAGTATATTTTAAACTAACATATTCCAGAAAGGCTTGCCACAAAGACTGAATTAACAGGTTTGTTCAATTAAACTTGAGTACATCTCCTGCCCATCACCCCACCCACCAAAAAAAAGAAAAGGGGAGTAAAGGACAAAATTTTGTCTAAACCCCTGAATCTTATAGCTCTACAAAAGGGAAAAAAAAAATTTGTTTTGCATAATTGGTGAAGGGGTTGCCCAAATGGCTCAGAGGTAAAGAATCCGCCTCCCAATGCAGGAGACCCAGGTTCAGTCCTTGGGTTGGGAAAATCCCCCAAAGGAGGAAACAGGAACCCACCCCAGGATTCTTGCCTGGGACATCCCATGGAACAGAGGAGCCCAGAGAGCTACAGTCCATGGAGTCACAGAAGAGTAGGAAACACTTAGCAAATAAAACAACAACGATAATTGGCTAAAAGGGCTACTTCATCAAGCAAAAAGGAAACTATATCTGTAATTTTAGAATTGTTTTAAAAAGCACCACTCTAAAACCTTCTTTTATCTTGATTCAGCATGATTTCATAATGCATAAAATACCAGAATTTAACATTCCAGAAGATCTAAAGCAAATTTAAATATTTATACACTTAAATTTCCAGTTTTCAGAACTGAAACTTTATTTCCCATGAATATTCTAATTATCTTTCAATTTAACCAAGCTAAGACTAATCTGGCAGATAAAATTATACTAGTGTTAAAGGAAGTACTTAAATGTAATAATTAAAAACTGTCTCTAAATGGATCACAGCTCATACAGCCTTAGGCAAGTTGCTTCCCTGAGCCTTAGTACTTTAACCCATAAATTAAGGATACTATTATTACCTACTTAATAAGGTAGGTTGTTCAGATTTTTAGAAGACAAAAGACACAAAAAGTGCTTATTCCAGGCGCCTGGCACACAAATTCCTCTAAGTTTTATTAATCTTCTATTTTTTTTAAATAGAACTTTTCAAAACAGATGGATATCTATAATGAGTTCCCAATTATCAAAAAAGATCATGCATTTAACCAAATTAATGTCAGTGTTGTCAATTCAGTACTTCCTAGTTCAGTTTTTCACAAAACACAAATATAATTTTATTATCCAAAATAAAGAAGAAAGATATTTCAGAAAACCACATTTAATTCAGGCCACAAAATAAACATCTTTGATGAAAAACCTCAAAATCAGACCTAATATAGTTTTAAAGAATGACTTTTAAACAAATCTTCCTGCCAAACCTACCACTGAAATCCCTTCCAAGGACTTTCCTCGGGTTGTCACAACACAGACTACGTACCACAGCTTAACTTTGCATGGTTAACGTTACATATTTTTCCAAGAACTTCCTTACCACAATGTTTAAAAAATAAAAATTAAAAATATAGAAACAGTCCTCTATGCATAAGAGATTAAGTAACAATCAAGAGAAAACAAAACAATAACAATATATGAATCAGGAGTAAAAGAAACATTTACTAGGCAGCTGTTGCATGCAAAACACCTTGATTTAGAAATTATCTAAACCTTTACTCAACAGAGAGAAAAGGAACATCAGAAATTAAGCGACTCGCTCAGGGCTTTATGATTACTAACTTTGAGTACTCAAGTATTTCAAAACACTAAAAACAAAACAAACAAAAAAACACTAAAAACACTTACTGCATACTGTGCTGTCCCGGGTCGCCCCTGCAACACCCCTGGCCCTGAGGGGCCGGGCCTGAGGGTCGTCCCGGAAAGGTGTTTACAGGCGGGCGATCGCCCCTGCTCGGTGCAGCCTGCCGGTGAGGGCTCCTTCTGTCCCGCCGCGGCCCCGAATTTCCTTCAGTCCCGCCGTCTGGAGCGCCGAGCCGGCCCCTCTTCCATCTGGAGAGCTGTTTTCATGGCTTCCTCGGCCGACCAACTCTCTATCTCGCCTCGCGTCCCAATACCTCCTCCTCTTGGCACTTCTCTCCGCCGTTCGCCCAGCGGCTCACATCACACTCCCACCTCAGACGTGAGGCTCCGAGAGGCGCAGGGCCGGCGAAAGCAGAGTGTGGCGCGCAGCGGCCCCCGAGGCTGCGCTAGGGGACCATGGGGGCCCGAGACTACAAGCCCGACGCGGCTCCCCGGCACCCCTGTGGCCTTCCACCCCCGCCTTGGGCGCCGCCTCGCTCCACTCCCGACGCTCAGCCCCTCTTTCTGTCCTACTCGCACCCGAGCCCCGCGGCCCTCGGGCCTTGGCCGCTTGTCGACCCGGCCGGCCCGCTCGCCCAGCGCCTCTGCCAGCTCCTCGCCCGCCCGCTGTCTCTAGCTCTGGCGCCCCAACTCCCCGGCCCCCTCGCTCGCCCAGTTCTTTCTCGGCCGTTTGCCCTGTCAAAACACTGCCCGGGTCACGTGTCCCAACAACAGCCAGCCAACCGCTCGTCACTTCCTCCCCGGCGGCCTCTGCGGCTGGCGCCCGGTTGTTATGACAATGCACGGCGCGCCCAGGGGCGCTAGCCTGGGGGCCTGGGTTTCCTTGCAAGTGTGGCGGGTTGCGAGGGGCTGGCGGAGCCCCGAAGGCCTGCGAGGCGCCAGGCGCATTGGCGGCGCTCGCCTCCTAAAAAGTAAAATAAATAAATAAAATAAAATAAAAACACTTACTGAAAAATATATACTCCAAAAAATATGTAAAAATTGTTCCATTCTTTCAATACCTCAGCTGCTCAAAATTTTTATTGAAATAATCATTATTAAAGGAAAAAAAATCTGATTACTTCAGTTTTATTTTTTAATTTCCAGTCTAACTTAAAATACATTCTTTTGCCAAAATATTATAGAACAAAATAATTTCTTTTAATACAATAACTTAATTGGAAAAAACATGAACAAAATCCCAGGGGTCAGAGTGAGAATGCTATTTGTGAGAGTATAGGAAAGAAATCAGCCTCACCTGAATCGTATTAGCAAAGAGAAAAATACAAAATGTGATCAAGATGAAAGATGAATTTAACTTTTACTCCATCAACAAGAACTAATAAACCTGTTTTAAGGCAGGTTTTGCAAAACTTAAGGTATAAGGGGACTAAAATTCTTACTTGAGTCTTCAACAAATTGATATTAATGCCTAGAGGAAAAATGGACATCACTTAAGACCATGGACTGTAAAAAGAACTTGCCTGTAACTCTTTTATTTTCTAATTTTAAAAATAATGAGTTTCAGTGTACAACTTCCCAGTATTAAAATATCTAAAAAAAAACTATCAAGACCAAAACAAGCCTCAAATTCTAATAATATTGGTTAAATTTTCCTTTTTCTTTTTCATGCATATCACCTACATTTTGGCCAATCAATATGCTTGCAACTTCCCCCATGAGGTTGAGTAGGTGAAAAAAAGGGGGGGGGGCAGGAAAAGAAAAAAGTAACCCACTTCTATAGTTTGGATTAAAAAATTTGATAGGAAAGGAAACTGAAAGTACTGGAAATGCTTTAAAATTAACATAATTTTATAAATCATCTCTTACAGAGTCAATAAGATTGACTAAGGACGAGTTCTCGGAAAATCATCAACTTAAGAAATATTTCGACTTATTATATATTTCAAAATCCTTTATCAAAAATGTTAAGAAATCAAAGTTTCTAATTACCATTCAACACTCAAAAAGATGTCTATGTTACTGTATTCAAACATTTCTCAGCTTCTCATATACAGAAACATTTCAGTTTATATTCAACAAAGAGTAAGGGTTGTATGTGGTCACACAGTTACTATTCTAAAGAAGTTGCTCTTTAAAGGACTGCTGGGAAGCATACTTCTGAAAAACAAATACTTATTTTGTATTAGCAGTAAGTAGATGTCAAACTATAATACCAGGCAGTAAAAAGGAATAATTAAGAAGTGTTCCTAAAGATGGTTTTGAGCTGGATTTATTAGGAAAAAGTGAACACTTAGGAATCGCCCACTATGTTTCAAGTTCCAGAAATGCCCAACATTGTTTCACGTCTTACTCTTGTGCCAGGCAATATACTGGCACTTTGCGAATTAACCCATTTAATTCTCAACTTTATAATGCTAATTAAAGAGTGTTCCACACGTGGAAAACAGGAATATCTAAGATTGCAAGAATTAGAGTCAATAAGACTAACACGGCTTAGAAAACCAAAAAATGTAACTTGAAGTGTAGGAGAAGCTGAGAGCAAATAAGCACCCTGTAGACGGTTTTGCTAGTACAGAGTCTATGTGCAGCCGAGCATTCCAGAAAGTCAGTTATCCCTCAAAATCAAAATCAAATCACTGCAATTATCAGAAAAAGAAAATCAGAAATATTAAGAAGTTAATTTTACTTATTTCAGTGGTTCTTCAGACTAACTTCAGGGGCTTTTGCTTATTCAGTAGATTTTGGTCATGATCCAGATGTACTTTTAAAAACCTTTTAAAATAATTATGTTACGTATTTCTGACTAAGAACCAAGGGGCTCCTTAATTATAAATAAAGGAACTCTTAACTCAGAAAGCTTAAACCACTTGTCCAAAGTTAAACAAAAAAAAAAGTATGAAAGTATTATCTAGAATCTAGCCCTCTCAACACACAGAATGTTACAAGTATGGGGGAAAAAAAAAACAGAAGTTTAGAGTGGTATGACAACAAGAAGGATTAATACAGGATTTTAAAATTTTATATATTTTATATCTTTATATATTCACTGAACAAAAGTTTGGAATCTTGAATGATTGGCTATTCCCTGTCATTGACTAGCTGAAGTTTCTATTCATACTTCAAAACCAAGCACAAAAATCACTATCTCTTCTTCCCATCTCCCCCAGACAGGAATCTTTAACTCTGTTCTCAAGACCCCCACAACATCACTTAATCACTGCATCTTAGTTAATCACCTACACATCTGTCTCACCCACTACAATATGAATTTCTTGGCACTGGAGATTGTATCTTCATTTGTTTTCCCAGTGTCCAGGAAGCATTCAACAGATGAATGAATGAAAAGCAAACTCCCAATATTTGCTACTAACTTAAAGAATAGCTCATAATATCACTTCCAAAGTTTTATTAAAGACACAGTTTTATTACTGTCAAGTATCTAAAATAATCAAGTATGCAGTAAGAAGATATTTTCCAGTACTTCAAACAAGATATTCTTCAAAAACTTTAACCCACTAAATATTTCAAAATTATTAAAAATGCTAATGATTCAAATAAAAGTTACTGTATTCAATTCTCAAGATGTCTATGCCATTTTCTGCCATTCAACTCTCCTTACAAACTTGCAATTTAAGAGCTTATTAAGTTTAACTTATTGAAGTAAAACATTTCAGTACAATAGTATTTAAAGAAATGATTTAGAAGATTCTCTGTCATATTAAGTGAGCAAAATTAATAATTACAATACTGCAAATTCCTAATAGGATCAAAATAAAGAAGATTGTACTACATTTACGAAAAATGACAACATTAAAACCAGTCAACAAGAAAACACATCTTGGCAACAGAAAAGAATAGTACTAATTTTGGAAAGTTCAAGACAGAAAGAAACACACTTATTGGCTGTACTTCCTTAATGGCATTTCTTTTATCCCATGCAGGGTTTTTCAATGGAAAAAATAAGTTGCCATTTGACTTTAAAAATAAAAATGTAAAATGTATATTTGAAATCTCAAGAGACAAAATATCTTCAATGAAGAAATGACTGTATATATCCTTAAAATTAAGGAAGGTAAATGCTATTTCATTGTTTGAGTTTACACCTTCCTTCCTGTTTTATATGTACTCTTCCCTCAATTTAAGCAAAATTTTCTGTTAGTTTTCAGTTTTCATAGTATTATTCATATGATTAGTCCTTTCAGTTTGTGCTTTCAATATGTCATGGACTAACTTTAGAAAGAATCACAAAGAAAAAAATGCATATAATATAAAAAGTAAATATAAAATATTTGTAAGTTCCCCAAAAATGTCAAGAAACTGAATTCTAAATTTCCTACTTCTAGCTATTTCTCATTTCAATATACTACAATGCTAACTAGAAGTCTTTATAATCACTGGTGTACTGTTAATTATGACCTCAATGCCTTCTCATAACAAACCCATACAAAGTTCATATAAAACTAGTTTACAGTAAGTAAAATTATTTCTATAATTGCCTATTTCTTTTAGGTTAAGATTATTGTGTGTTCAAAATTATATCTTCCAGAAAAATTTCACTAATGATTATAATCTAATGACAAAAATTAAGAGCCCAGGCTTAGTGGTTATGAAAGAAAGGAGTCAATCCAAACTTTTATTTGTCAGAGTAAGACTTGGACAAGTTAACCAAATTCAATCGCTTTATCTAGAGAATAAATCACAGACCTAGAGAATAAATCACAGATCTGCGGACAACTAAAAGAAAAAAATTTGTTAATTTAGGATATAGTAGGGATTCAATAAATAGCTAGCATTAATTTTACTTTTATTACATGTTCTTTTTGCTAAACAAAGACATAACCTGGCATGCTGCAGTTCATGGAGTTGCAGTCAGACATGACTTAGCGAATGAACAACAACAAAGAGATAAAACTATTTTTAACATCTAAAACGTACACTGAACAGGATCTGAAATTATTATTGGAATTTACTTAACACTAACACTGCAAGTAAACTATCAAACAAGAAGACAAATTAAAATTTTTAATCACCCTTGCCAGTAAAGACAAGAATTTTCAATATTGGTACTTTCTCATCTGAGCCTCCTCATTTTCAACATATTGGATGTAGCTAACTAAGTAGGTCATCCCTTTAATTTTCTTAAAATATAAATATACAAGCAACAGATTAACAATCCTAATTTCATTTATATGTAAACTGTACCATGCTGCTTCTTCAACTTTATTTTTGGAAATAATCTATTTTAGTTATAATATAATAAAATGGGAGCATGTGTACAAAAAATTGTATAAGTATACACAGCTTATTTTTTAAAAGTGGGAGATGAACAGGCAGAGAATTGCTGAAGTCACATTTTGAGTTTCTGACAACAAGTATTCCTTCTGCAATCATTTAAAAAATGTATTAAGTTATTTAACAATTCCACAAAGGAAACCAAAGGTGGACAATTTACCACTGCCGCTTAAAAATAATAAAAATAACCCTCTTTCCTAAGTATTTTTTAGTGATCTTTACCTCCTCAGCCTACCATCCAGTGTAACAAGAAACAGAATTATCAAATCCTCATTTTCACAAGCAGCTTCCTTGAAAAGTTACAAACAGATGTAGTAGGATTTGTTTACATAAGTATATACTTATTATATATATATGCATATATATAACTTAAATACAGATTGATGAAAAGACAATGCTTTCTAAACATGTTTAAGGATTTTGATTATGAAACTCTCCCTGGGGAGAAAAATCTTATAGGTACTAACAGTACTTCTACAACTTGCCAGAATCCAATCTTTGGAACATGCTTTCTGCTCCTGATTAACCCACAGAGAAAACAAGGCCCTTAAGTGAAGAGAAATGCAACAATGAAAGGGAAGACTAAAGCTGATTCCTTTACCCTGATTGCATACTTCACATACTTTTTTTTTCACCTCCATTACATAAGCAGATATCAGGTAAAGACTTTCAATTTTACACTGCTATTAACTTCTTTACTCATAAAATAAAGTTATCCAAAATCAGGGGCAAAAGCCTGTAATAAAAATACTCCATTAAAAAGAAGATTGCAATAGATGGATAGGTATTTTCACCTTTCTGTCCTTTAGAATTAAAGCAGTAATTTAACAAGATGAAAAATTTTACAAGTATTAACTGAGACCTTTTTGGTACAGAATTATCAAGTTCATGTTGGTGATGGCATAGGAAAAAATAGAAAAAGTAAAAAGGAATAAACATACACACACACACACAAAATTAAGCTCAGCTAAAAAATGTTTCCTTTTTGGAATTTTGGTATATGTGTTTGCTAAACAGCAGCAAAATTTCAGAAAAAAACAAATGTTGCTCCTAAAAGTTATTGCGAGTCTTAAACAAATACCATCTTACATTCACAGAAGTTTTAAACTATTTTCACATTGTTATAATCTTTTATCTTCACAATCCTATGAAGTAGACAGATCATGTTATTACCATCCCTATATTAAGAAAAACTAAACAGAGCTCAGTCAAACTGTTTAAAATGGGCCTTAACTTCTACTTTGTAAAGATAACACAATCAGAGTTGGAACAGACTTGAGTGTTCCTTTCACAGTTAATCTTCCCCCATTTCACAGATGAAAAACAATGAAGCTCAGGGAAGTCAAGACACCCACCCAATATTACAAAACTCTCTGACATACTGAAGCCTGGGAGGCAGGTCTCCTAACTTCCGGCTGGATACTCTCCTTTCACCACACTGCCCTGCCATGTCACAATGAGTGATATAAAAGCATGCTGAAAATGTTAAAAGTCACTATAGAAGTGGGTAGTAGTAGCAGCTCCAGAAAAGGGAAGATATTTTCAATTTTTTAAAAATTAAAGACATTATGAAATAAATAAATTTAAATGTAAAACTACCTACCACCTTCACCTTTTCCCCCTAAAATCCTCCTTCACATTTTCTTAAATCCCTGATTTGATCACAAATTCTTAAAATTTTCATAATCTGTACATATTTGTTCGTTGTTTAATCACTCAGTGCTGTCCGACTCTTTTGCGACCCCATGGACAAGGCTCCTTTGTTGGTGAGATTTCCCAGCCAAGAATACTGGAGTGGGTTGCCATTTCCTTCTCCAGCCTGCACATATTAAGATATCAAAAATTACTCAACTGATAACATTTTACTTCAAATAGCAAAATATTTTTCAGGAGCCATGTTATATTCCTCTAAGTATTAAAGCCTATTATTCTTGGTTATAGTAACTTAAAGTTATTTTATTGATACTTAGGTCACTGAAGTATTTTTCACTGTATATGCTCACTAAAATATTGCCATTGCAGACTTTTAGTTGAAACAGTAATCGGATCTGATAGACAATCTAATGCAAACGTGAATTAATGAAAATGTGGTAACTGACTGGCAGACATGTATCATGTGATAGAAGGGTTTTTTTTTTTTGAGGACTGTAAGAGATTGAGATTGAAAAGATTACATGGGCTTATACTGTCATAAAAACGTAGACAGCACGAATCTTATAAACACATGGTAAACAGATCTTAATCACTTTTTTAGGCAAGAGTTTTGAAATGTTTCAATCCCAGCCATCCAGGAAGATATGCCAGGCTTTATACACAACTCTATACAGGCTGAAAGACTCAAAATCCATCTGATGTATCTGTATATAAAATAACACGAGGGCAGATCAAAAGCTATTAATATTAAAACTAGAGCAAGATTACACACACACACACACACGCTCATATATATGTTGCATATACATACATACATACATACATGATATGCATAATGTATTCATCCTTTTCAACAAGTCCTAACTGAAAGCTTCATGGACCAGGGAAGACCCCAAGTACTAGTAATTCAAAAATGATAACAGTCCCCACTGAGCGGGAACTCACAGTCACTCAGACAAGGCAGAAGTATTTCTCAAGAAACTATAAATGTGTTAAGTGCTGAAATATAACATTTCAATAATTCAAAATATTAGACACTTGGATATAATGATCAACTCACTTTAAATTGTACTCGTTCAGTAATGCAAGAGCCTAAAGTTTCTCAAAACAGGAAGTGAAAAAACATGCTTTTGAGAAAAGGCAGTGAACTGAAGCATTTGAACGCTTAGAATTTAGTCTCATCTTAGATCATTTATGAAGATGAAATTTGTAAAATCTGACTATTTTCATGCCATAAAAATGTGTAACGAATGCTTTAAAAAGAGGAATTTTGCCTAAATACCCGAGTCACTTTTGATGTTACTCTCACTTCCTCTCTTGGAAACCATCATAACCATTTCCTTTAACCACAAGACCACATGTCTAGCAACTTCTAGCAATGTTTGTCTTGCTTGTTTTTTTTTTTGCACAAAGCTCATATAGGAACGAATTTCCAAGTTAAGGAGCATAATCTCACAAAAAAGTTCAGGTCAATGAACCTGTAAGTAATACTATCTAAAAGTATTACAAACTTATAACCAAGTCTCTTCTCGGTAAATGCAGAGGGCTTCATTGGAATGACCCTGAGCTCCTGTCACACAAAATTGAAGTGTGAAGAGGCATTTTACTCTCCAGAGTGCACTAGGTTTAAAGTCAACCAATCCTTCTATTCAGGGAAGCCAATGGAACACAGCCATCGCTACACAAAATTTATCATTATTAAACCAGGACAGTCTTCTCCTCTAGAATTTCAGGGTCTACATGAAATTGCTGAAACAGGTCAGTTTTATATTGAATTCCATCATGCGTTTTTTAAGTATTCTTTTCTTCAGGAGACCTAATTTACAAGGGCTACAACTCTACTGCTACGATTAAACTAAAAGGAAATATTCAGAATGCATTAAAAAGCCAACAAAAAAATTATGAAGATATAACATCAAATACACACTGGAAACTGTCAGGATCCAGCTTGCATCAAAAAATCTTAAGTTTTCTCTATCAAATTACTAAAAACTTGCTAAATTTGCCTTAAAAGGAATAGAATTGTGGTCTTTCTTTTCTAAAATAAATTAATGTAATATTTGCTCTATTCTTCCATCTATTTTTCTTAATTGCAACTCAGCCTTTCATTCCTTAATATTGCGAAAGCCATGTACTTTCAATGGGTCTATTAGCTAGAGCTACTCAAATTATCAGACTACACCATGAAATCAGCATAAGAGCAACACAATCACAGTTTTTATTTTGTATAGACACCGAACCTAAAGAAATTTAAGCAACAATGTTTCAGTATTAGCGACATGGTTGGAAAAACTAAGATGAGGAGGAGTAAAGAAAGACAAGAAGGTTGTTATTCCTGTCCCAGTGACTCACAACCCAGAAGTATTTCAGGAGAAAACTGGTTCCACCCTCGCTCCCACCTCCTTTCCACCTTCAAAATGAAATAATTCCAAATCGTCAACACACTCTTCAATGGCTTTTACTTGGCGATCCAGAATAAAAAGGCCAAGTGGAGGAGATGTAGGGTTCATCCAGATGAACCATTCTCTTCTCACGCTCCCACTTACATACCAAAAGAACTGAGGGGGAAAAAAGAAACAAAAACAAAAACAAAACTGCTTCCATCTCCGCCAGATTTCTACCATTTCATCTGAGTTATGGAACACCCAAGTTTTCCTAGCCCCCATCTAGTATCTCATCCATCCTCCTCCCTTTCGCGCAGACCCAGTCCCCGGGGGTCAGGGCGCCGAGGAGGGGACGGCGGCGGCGCCCCTCACCCCGCGCCGGGCCGGCCAGTTCCCATTGCTGGGAGCGGGCAAATGGCTCCTCTCCGCCCCTGGCTGGGCCGCGACCCGGCGGGAGAGACGCCAGGGCTCCGCATTAGGCTCCGGCGCATCCCGGCGATCTTGGGCGGGCCTGCCGCCGCGAGGCCACGCTTTCCGCCCCAGGCGCCGCCCGCTGCCCCCAGGGCCCAGGCCTCCCCGGCCCTTCCTCCCGCCTCTGCCTGCCCGCCGCGCCCGCCGGCCCGTGCGCACCTGCTTGATGTTGTAGAGGCGTGTGACCATGCCGACGACCCGGTCGTTGAGGATGGTGAGCTTCTCCGCCAGCTTCTGCTGGCTAGGCTGCAGCACGGAGAGCGACATGGTGGTGGAGGCAGTGGTGGGGCCGGCGTTGCCGGCCTCGCGCCCAGTCACCGGCCCGCGGCCTCCGCAGCTTCCTCGGTCGGGCCTCCTCCCTTCCTGCACGTGACCTCCGTCTCAGGGGAGCGCGCCCATGGCCCTCGCGCCCCAATCCCGTGCGGGTGAACAGAGCGAGCCGCAGCGGACGCCTCGTCGTCCCTTTCCCCGCAGCAGCCCGCGCCCCGACAGGCTCCTGCCTTCGGTCCGCCGCCCTTCCGTCCCCACCCTGGGCGCTCTCCGCCCCAGCCCCCACCGCCGAGCCGCCTTCCCGGCTCCTCCACTAGGTGTGGCGGAGGCGGCAGCGTCTCTGGCGGCTGAGAACGAGGCCGCTTCCCCGCAGCCCCGGACGAGCGCTCGGTCACCTGATCTGCCGCGCAGGCGCCCTCGCCAGGCCGGACGGGGAACTGCGCCTGGGGGGCGGGGCCAAAGCCCGCCTCGCCAGGCCTCGCTGCAGCCGCCGCTTGGGATGCGGCTCCGGCTCCACACCAGACCCGACCCGGCCTGGCCCGCCCACTGTCCGGGGAGCCTCAGCCCGACCTGCTGAGGTTACGCTTTTCTGTCCGCCACACAGCCCCCCCTTTCAAGTTTCCAAAAGTTGCCTTTCCACCGCCGCCCAGCAGAAGCCGCGGGCAGGGGGCGAGGCAGGGCGGGCTTTTTTCTGGCGAGTTTCGCCCGAGAGTGGGCTGGCGGCTCCATGCGCTTTTCCCTCCCACTGCTTGACAGACGCTCCGGCTGAACACAGCAGATGTGCTCTGCGAGGCGGCCTTCGCCTCTGCCTTCCTACCCTTTCCAGCCTATCTCCCCGGCTTCAAGGCAGTTCAGGAGAGGGTTGGAAGCGAGGGCGACTCGAGTTCCTCAGATAATCAGAATCTGACATTTGTCAACGGGATTACCCTTCCGGAGAAGAGGTCAACAGAAGAGGCCCTGGCCTGTGGGAGGCAGAAATAAATGTTTCTTCAAGTGAATGAAGGAACTTTCCTTTTTTTTTTTTTTCTTTATCTGGCCTCCACCCCAAATCCCACGCATTCTTGGCAACATTCTGCTTTTCCATCTTTTTTTTTTTTCCTGGTCAAATTCCTCCAAGTCAAACCCGAAGGTTGCCCCCTCTGATCAAATATGTTAGACATGATTCCAAAAGTGAGCAAACTCAAGGATTTATGTCATTGACTTGGGTGAGGAGCTCCAGCAAAGAGGAGTCAAGCTGTTCTGGTGGATTTTTTTCGCTTTAATTTCGTTTGATGTATTAATTTTTAAGTAAGTGACAAAATATCCTGCCACCGTCAGTAAACAACATTATAAAAGTAAGTGTCATTGGATTGATCAAAACACTTTATGGAAAGGAAATTGTGAGGAATATATTCCGAAATATTTTAAGCTAGTATATGTAGAGTTCCTTCAGAAATTTTCATTTTAATATTACAAGATAAAGGCAATAGATTGAACTTGATTTAAGGAGCTTTGAAAAGAGTCCTATATTCACCAAAAAATCCCACCTGCCATTATGCTTGGAATCCTGTACACAAAATTAACTTGAATGAGTTTTTTTTTTAAATAGAAACACCTCAGAGAGATCACCTATTGAGCTAGTATTAGTTATTAGCATATTGCAGGATTTAATGTATCTGGTTGCAGTCCAGCCTGATAGTTTAAGTATTAATTTAGAGAAGGTAAGAGTCTGGAACCTGAGATAGTGAGGGCAGGCCTGAGAAGGAGGGGCTGTAGGGAGCAGGGTGGGGAGTAAAGATGTGCTTTTTTCAGGGACCAAAGGCAAATATAACCAGACAGAGTCCTACAAAGAAAGATTATATCATTTTCTAGTTTTTCAAAAGTGCTGTATAGAGAGAACAATAAAGTGGTGCCGCATTAAAATTTGAACACAGCTGTCATTTAGAAAAGCCACTCTGATGATTCCATATGAACTTGAACACTTGAAGCTGCTTATAACTCAGAAGTACCGGATAGAGGGAGAGCTCTGTAGATTCTAGTCTCATTATTGAATTTTTATTATAACTAACTTTTAGACATACTGGTCCTAGATTGAATAGAATATTTATATCAGGTATAAGTGAAGTATTCATAATTCTTGCATTTCTCTACATTTTGCATCAAGAATTTTGTTCCTGAGCCAACCCTTTTGAAGTTTGCCCATATGTGTAGTGTGAAGTGGGCTTCCCCAGTGGCTCAGCAGTGAAGAATCCGCCTGCAATGCAAGAAACTTGGGTTTGATGCCTGGGTGAGGAATATCCTCCCTGGAGGAGGACCCCACAACCCACTCCAGTATTCTTGCCTGGAGAAACCCATGGACAGAGGAGCCTGGCAGGCTACAGTCCATAGGATCGCAAAGAGTCAGACACCACAGAAGTGACTGAGGTCACGCATAATATAAAGTTTATTGTAAGTACTAAGGTAATAATCATGTATTTTCCTATGCATATATGATTTCATGGCAAGTATAATTAGTGTATGTCCTTTTCTATTTCGTTTCAGTATTTCAGTCTTTGAAAAGTATGTCATACCGTGTGAATCAGCCTATAAAGTTATTTATAAAATTTATAAAGTTATTTATATTATTTATAAAGTTATAAAGAATTGCCCATCTTGTAGAGTTTTTCTTCCTACTGTTTTCTGGACAAGCAAAAAATTTTAAAAATGATTAGGAAACTTAGAAAAGATTAAGTAAGTTTTAAAAAGCTTGGTTGGAGAATTTATTTCTCTCATCGAATGAAGCATAGTCTTCACACTTCCTCTGGTAAGCTCTTCAAATTGTTTCACTTCAGGTAAGAGATTTCTGCTGTTTGTCCCTAGAACATAAGGCTTCAGAGAGATTTAGAAAGGAGATGATAGCTTTTTATTTGCAGTAATCATAGAAATTTAGCTAGCATAGACCAATAAGCCTTAAAAGTGTGAATTTTTCTGTATATAAAGTATATCTCAATAAATCTGACTAGAAGTTACAGAACTGTGTTTTGAAACATTATTTTTTCTGAGAGAAGTATAAAAGTACCCACTGTAAGGAAAGTAAACATTTGAAAACCCAAACTGGAAAATATATAAATTGGAAAAGGAATAAATTTGGCTTTATAGAAGAATTCATAATAGAATTATATTTTGTGACCCACAGATATATTTTACAATGATTCAGTTATAAAATCCTACTTATAAAATGTCAGAAACAAATCACGGGTATGACATATAACTTTTTATGTATGTGTTATGAAATATTCAATCATTCATAGTGACAATTCTGGATGGAATTAAATATAAATGTTTGTACAATAAATACTTAAAATGTGCAGGATACTGTTATTCTAAGAGGAGATATGAAGCTGTATAAGGTGTAGATTTTAATCTCCCTAGCTCACATTCTGGGCTTCCCTGGTAGCTCAGCTGGTAAAGAATCCGCCTGCAATGTGGGAGACCTTGGCTTGGTCCCTGGAGAAGGGGATGGCTACCCACTCCAGTATTCTGGCCTGGAGAGTTCCGTGGACTACAGTCCATGGGGCCGCAAAGAGTCAGACACGACTGAGTAACTTTTACTTTCACTTGAGCTTCCCTAGTGGTTCAGCTGGTAAAGAGTCTGCCTGAAGTGCAGCAGACCCAGTTCGGTCCCCCAGTCAGGAAGATCTCCTGGAGAAGGAAATGGTAACTCACTCCAGTATTCTTGCCTGGAGAATTCCATGGACAAAGGAGCGGGACAGGCTGCAGCCCGTGGAATCACAAGGAGTCAAACACAACTGTGCAACTAACTTTCACTTTTTATTCAGCTCACATACTGGGTGAGCATAGAACTGTACATACACAAGGAAGTCTAATATAAGCAGCCTGTGATACAGGGCTATGAGAGAAGTCTAGAGAGAAGAGTCCCAAATTGAAGTTCCTAAGCATGTGTGTATGTGCTGCTCACATGACTTAGTTGCTCAGTAATGTCCAGCTCTTTGCGATGGACTGTAGCCCACCAGGCTCCTCTATCCATGGAATTCTCTAGGCAGGAATAGAGATTGATAGTGTAGAGATAGTGTAGAGATCCATCCCAGGTTTCCTGCACTGCAGGCGGATTCTTCACTGTCTGACCCACCAGTGAAGCCCAAAGTTCCTAAGGATTATTCTAAAACTTAGGTTTGTTCAACTTTAATAAGTGCAAAATAATTTTTTTAAAGTGCAGGAAAATAATAGGAATGCTCATCACATACATAAAAGAACAAAGAAAGTTGAAGGTAGAACAGAAAATATGTATGCCTATGATTGCTAAAGCAGGAGAAAAAAAAGGGAAAAATAAAGGTAGCTTTTGAGGACTTGAGGATAATAAATACAATTTGAAATAGTTGTTGACTTTATTAATTAGCCTTCAATGTCTCCTTCTTCCTTAGAATAAAGTCTACATCTCTCAGTCTCCCTTGCAGGCTAGTTCTTGCCACTAGGACATAAGCTTTCAAGAACCTTAAGAGACTGCTGTGTTCTCTTTTTGACAGTCGTCCCCTCTTATTTCATTCTCCCACATGAAACAAGGACCCAGACACCACTATCTCAATCCGTGAAGACCATGGCCACTCACTGAGGATGGCCAAACATAGAAATGGAAGATGCAAGTGGGCTTCTTAGAGCAGAACTATCATACCAAACATTCCCGTTCTATATCTGGATTTTGTGTGAAACAAAGTTTTATTTAAGCTTCTTTGAGCTGTGATTTTTTAAAAAATTATTCTCAACCAAACCTGATCCTAAATAATATTTTTTGTGGTCAACATTATAGTATCATTACTAAGAATAAATTAAGGAATCCAATTTATTATTTATGTGTCTTTCACACTATGTGTCAGGTGCTTTGAGTTACATTTTCTCATCTGCCTCTCTCAATTTAATGTGCTTAGTTGCTCAGTCGCGTCTGACTCTTTGCGATGCTCTGGACTACACAGTCCATGGAATTCTTCAGCCCAGGATACTGGAGTGGGTAGCCTTTTCCTTCTCCGTGGGATCTTCCGAACCCAGGGATCCAACCCAGGTCTCCCATATTGCAGGCAGATTCTTTACCAGCTGAGCCACAAGGGAAGCCCAAGAATACTGGAGTGGGTAGCCTATCCCTTCTCCAGCAGATCATCCTGACCCAGCAATTGAACCGGGGTGTCCTGCATTGCAGGCAGATTCTTTACCAACTGAGCTAACTGGCTTCTAGGTGTAAACAAAACCAATTTTATTTTATTTTTTTACAAAAACAATTTTTAAAAGTCATATAATTTTCAGAATCATAGTGCTATGTTTATTAAAACTTTTTGCAGCTAGTTTTAAATATTTGCTAGTAATTTGCACTAGTTGACAAGAAAAATTACAAAATCATTTTGATTAATTCAGTCTAGGAAACATTTCTTGTTTTTCTGTTTCCAAAGAATCATAGAAGAGCATTTTTGCTGGCAGTACTGGCTATAACTGTGGGGATATTAACTTATTATATTGATAAGCTTGATAAATATACTCTTCATTTAATTTTTGTTTATTAAATTTTAAGTTAAGCCTAAGATCTATTGTAAGAAAAAATGCTGTAATAAAATA